TGGTTATTTTCTTTTGAGTTTTGAAGTTGAAGAGATTGAGGTGAGATTTTGGTGGTTGCATAGTCGTAAACTTAGATGTTCTCGGAGAACTTGACTTCATTTTTCGACATTCGGGATTATGATGCATTCTGGAGTTTATTCTTTTTAGTCTGTAGCTAACTCTTACTGCTTTTCGCTGGCACGGTGTTCTATCTGAGCAAATCTTAATATTCTTGAAAATCTGTTTTAGTCTCGATTAATTGAAAGATGGAACTCACTAGCGTCTTCAAATGATCTGAAGATCGATGAGTGCATATCACGATCGTGGAAATTATTTATGTCGATCTATTGCTCTGGAGTCTGTAAGGTAGGGGTTGATGTGATACTTGAGCGGATCGAGAATATTTGTGTCAACTTGCAACCATTTTTATTATTCGTATAGTTGCAGTTGTGATTATCATCGTTATCTAACAACGAAGTCTTTAACACATCTGAAATCGAGACAGCTCGCACATGAATATTAATATCGAGTTAGATATCAGTTTTGTAAGATTATTGGAGTAGTTATTCTTTATTCTTCAAAATTTTGTGCTATGTATTTGAATCACACTGAGAGTATTAGTTGCTTCATAAGTGGTTGTATGTCTCACTTACTTATACCAACTCGTTTCACGAATATTCTTGATGTACCGTAGTTTACGTCAAGATTCTGTTTTTAGCTGCTTATCATTTCCTATTTATAGGCATTTATGAACAGATCAGCACAGATAACTACAGTTTTCTATCACTGTCAACGTAATGTCAATGTACAGCTGAAGACAATTCTGAGACATTAAATCGGATTACATTTCGAAAATTCACATTCCAAATCTGACTGTATATTGAGCTATTAACGCAAAATCTTCTTCGCGATTCTTGTAGCGAAATTTCATAATCACACATGATAAGGAGCCACTGTGTAACTCCTTGTGATGCTGCTGACGATGGAGACTAGCGTAATTGGCAGGCTTTCAACGGATTCTTCTACAGATGCTTCATTATGGAGACATTCATTTCGATACTGTTGCAAAATTAGGAGGAAATTACATTATCAAACAAACGGGAAGTATTATTGATAGTTCCTTAGCTTGATGAAGTGAGGATACAGATATATTCTCAAGATAACGATAACTGAACTCATTTGATACTAGATGAGTGATAATTACAGTGTTTATGCATATCTGATGCAAGACCATCTATGAGTACACATGAAAACTGTTTGTTTAAACTTCAGTCTCTCTATACTTAGTAGTAACCATTTTTAAAGTGAAAATTTAATTCAACCTTCCTCCGTATGAGTGAGTGACTGTCGGTCATACGAAAGCATCATTATTGAACAACATTCCTCATTATGTTGAAGACTTATATCAGGCTAAATATACAAATGAAAAATCCATCATATATATTTAGTTAGATTACAAGGTAGTGATAAACAACAAGAGAGTTCAATCAATGACATTTGCAAAAACAATATCTGAGGTCAACAAACTGATGTTTTTTTCTTTCTTATAATCACACGATCAGGTAGTGTATACTACTATCATCATCATCATTATTATAATTACCTTGATAAAACTATTTCATATGAACATAACGCACATTAGATAGGAAGAACACCAATAGGAAATGTGATGAATATGTATGTAATATTGAAATAGATATTCCTGTCTGATTCGTCATTTAACAGTCCTCAGGTTAAAAAGATTTGAGTGGGCAAATGTAGTGCATGTTGTGATTAGCTCAGACAAATATGGCAGATCAAGAATAGTATCTTTTTGTTGGAAAATATTACCTTCCTGATCACTTCAACCATTCTCTTTTGTTGTCTAATACATTATGGTCTCGAGTACAGTGTAATTGTAAAAGATTAGCGTTCAGTTGACTCTAATGAAAATGACGAAGTGCCAACAAATAAATTTGGAAACAACTAGTAGACTGTTATCTCACATCACATTCTCTCTCGAACCATCACCAATGAGCATAATACCTATTGAAGCTGTGTGTTCCGAGATCGAATCCGTCAAACAGCATCAGTTCCCTTAAGAATACAGGTACACCTTGCTGATTAGTGACAAGTAGCAGGCGAATCGGGTTCAGAGTTTCCTATTGATCACCTCCAAGCATCATCTTATCTGTTTACTCAGTTGAAGATTTGACGGAATCGACTACTTAGTATGCTGTAAAAACACTTTGATAATAAAATTCCCTTAATATTTATTTCAAATTCAATTGTTCTGTAAACTCTAGGTTGATTGCTTAATTATGAATGTTCGAATAATGGTGAATAGTGTGTGTTGGGTTTATTGAAGCATCTGAATCAGGTGAGTTTGTATGGGTTCAGTTCTTTGGGCGTGATAAGAATTTTAGAAATGATAATGAATGTCACTCTCTATCATTACATTCATATGACTGATAATCAGTGATGGTAACCGACACTACAAGACCATAGATAATATTGAACATAAGCAAAGAGGCTAACTATGCTTCTACTAATATCGTCAATTGAAGTCATACATTCCTTGTTAAAAACAGTTTTTTCATTAGCATTAATTGAGATTGTAGTAAAGGAGAACACTAGTGAAGACAAACGTATGTACTTGAATAGACAATTACAGAATCCCCCAGAACAATCTGAGAACCATACAGTAAATTCTTTTTTCGCAAAATGTCAACCAATTGTCTCAGACTTGGTTGTTTATTCGTCTCAACACCAATCATTCCCTGTTCTAGTTGTCATTCTCTTTCTTTTGAGATTCTCAACTCTCTGTCATCAGGCATTTAACTTTGTTTCATGAGATATACTGCTTATATCTGTTGACGTCAGTGAACACTTTTGTCCGATGATGTTTGGTAATTTATACGCTACATTATGGACTGAGCTTGTTTTAGGAATAGTCAGTTGATCAGTTGCTTTTATCCCTTATTTGTTATAAGGATTATGGATAAGAATGATTTGTGATGTTCCTCACAAAATTGATTTATCATAATAAAACAATTAATAATTATTGAATATATATGGATGGACATTTTTATTCTCCCATTTGATAATTAACATCCAGTTAAGTAGTATCTGATTGTTAAATACGATTTCATACTCTTCAATGAACAATAGTACCCTAATACTTTTCATTCTTTATCAAACAACGAGGGCATCATTTCAATGTGTGTATCTTTAAATAAGAAAGATCTAGTTTTATGTGTAAAGCTAATACATGAAACGCTAAAAACCTGAAACGTGTAAAGATCTCAAAATCACTTATTTATATTTGTTACTCCTCATGAAGGAGCATAGGTCAACCAACAGCAATCCTACTGCATCCTACTCTTATGACCAACACTTTCCAGTTGTTTGCAGTTGCGGCAGCTTCCAATTCTGGTAGTAGTGTGCTTTTTGACCTTACACTTTTCTGTTTACATTCATGGTTTAATGTAGGGTCTGACCTCGTAATGCAGTTTGATGATTTCCTCGAAGTAAGCTCTATCCCATCTTAACTATTTTTTCTAAATTTCCTTTCTAGCCGAAAGTTGGTCTCAGTCGTTTTGAAAAGCATTTTTGATCATACAGTCAATTGTCAATCGAAGTATTTTTGAAATTACCTACCGTGATTATTCAGTTAAACATCCGATAAAAAAGATTCATTTTAATTTGTTTTAAAGAAGACACACAGCAGTGTGCATGCACGGTTCTGCATAATGGACTCTGACACAAGGTATTTGAATTAACTCCTGCACAGTTACCGTTTGTATCACTGAACTAGCATCCAATCATATCAAATCGGTAACAACAAGCGCATGTTCTCTGGTATTCTTAGATTTTTTTCTCATGAATTTTGACGATTTTAGATTTCTCCATATTAATTCCAGTTTTTCATCAAGCTAATGGATTATTACTAAAATATTCTATTGATATGAAGGTACTGATTAATATCCCTGAGGACAATAACCTATGGCGTAAAAATGAAAGTTCATCTTTAATTACATGGGACTTCTCATATATTATTCTCCTAGATAAATCATATTTATATTTGATTATATTTCTATTATCAGCTCAACAATTAGTGATGGTCTTAAGAACGTTGAAACGTGACCCCACGGTTCTATGGACAACTGCTTGTGGCCCATCGCGCACTCTCTTTTTATTGTAGAGCACTTGATGTGCTGGCTTTGTGCTTCAAAATGACCATCCACCGGAGACATAAGTTGATGGGATAAGGTGAAGTATCACGCATTCTGAGTTGTCTCTTTATAATCATTGCATCAGTTATGATAAAGCAACATTGCTTTACATGTGGGCGGTTTGACGATAGTACCTTATTGCTGTCACAGGCTTATGTACACATTAGCTCGACATCGCCCTCGAGCATTAAGTTACTGCTTTTAGTCTTACTAATCTCACAACAAAAAGTTTGACAAAGTATGACGGTAGGCAATACATTTTATAGCCCACATATATTAGTTGATTTATGACGGTAGGCAGGCCTGATCAACACGTCAAGGTAACAATTACGTTCAGTCTCATTGTTTATATACATCATTATTTAACCACGTTAGAAGATGTTCTCAAGCACGTAGAAAATGCTTCCTTCTAACAGGTGAATAAATTATTACACGAAGAGTAAGATGAATATTCTATGTAATTCCTCTATTTAAAGTCCGTATGAATATACGACAGATGAATTTTGCTAGTTATACCTTCACCAGATTAAGGAAGTTTTGACCGATAATCTTTAACTACTCAAATGAAATTTCAGTAGTATTTCACTACACAAATAATTGTGTTCATATCATTCACTGTATTATTATTATTATTATTATCATTGAATTATTCGGTCGGTTAAAAATAAATTGAGTTCTCATTAGATAATAGAAATGATGATTGAAATTACCAAGAATAACTGACCATCACTGAATCTTTATCTGTAATTGAAATAATGGACCCCATCATAACAATAATGTGTATGATTGATGATATTATTATTAACATAATAATCAACATCATCCAAATCATCATCCAAATCATCATCATCATCATCATCATCATCATCATCATCATCATCATCATCATCATCATCATCATCATCATCATCCAAATCATCATCATCATCATCCAAATCATCATCATCATCATCATCATCATCATCATCATCATCATCATCATCATCATCATCATCATCATCATCATCATCATCATCATCATCATCATCATCATCATCATCATCATCATCATCATCATCATCATCATCATCATCATCCAAATCTTCCTAAACATCATCATCTGCGTCATCATCATCATCATCATCATCATCATCATCTGCATCATCATAATATGCTCGAGTACAAGCTTATTATATTTCGATTACTACAAACTCATCAGGAAACGCGTCAATTTCCGACTACTTTGACTGTTGTAAGCCAAGTTTAACAAATGGAAGAAAAGCATGAAATTTGTTTATATCATATCTTATAAGACTTTAAAAAGTAACTTAAGTAAACAGATAGATAGAGATTCCCAAATTTGCTCTATTCTCTCCTCAAAATAAAAAAAAACAAAGAAGGAGATTAACTTTATGTTATGCATTGTTGTTTTGATCAATTTTCCAAACTTCAATTGAAGTCAATTACATGAATGATTAGTAATGTATCATATGTTGTATGAAAGAAGATGAAGATTCATAGTAGAATTAGATAATTACACTATACACATTGTACATTGACCACGACCTGATTTCATTATGAATGGTTTTATAACGAATGATAATTTAAAGATATTGAGACTTCTCATTATTATCTCTTCAAAATAATTAATAATTGTCTTCTGTTATTTACTATGCTTGAGTATAAATTTATTATATTAAGATTACTACAAACTCATCAGCAAACGCGTCAATTTCCGACTAATTTGACTGTTGTAAGCCAAGTTTAACAAATGGAAGAAAAGCATTACATCGGATCATAGAAGTAGGAATAATGCCCGTCAACTGAACTGACAAGCTTTAGGTCCTGTGAACTGCATTATACCCTTAAACCACTGACACAGCATACAGTGATTTCTTAACTGATATCAGTTAACGGGTGATGTGGCACAATCAACCTGTTTTTGCTGAGCTGTCACAGATTAAGATGATCCGCGGTTCAATACTTCATGGTTTTCAGTGGTTTTCGAGGTTATATTAGTTCGTGATGTTAATTCATTTCAACGATCAGTACAAATCATTATTGATGAAAGGTAACAATTGTGCATTATTTATTACTTTTGTAAAATAACAATGTTAAGTTCGATTTAGTTCATTGTCACTAGGGTAAACATAATTTCGTTTTTGTTCTTTTTTCGTTTAACATGGCTATGTCAATCAATAAATCAATATTTTATTGATGGTGAACATAAGAATATCTGGTAGCACAATGTTTAAAAGATCAAAAAAAAGGAGGGGGGTAAAGGATAATAACAGAAATCAATTGATGTGGAAATGTAGGAACACATGAAATCTGAGACAGTTGATTGACAATTTTGCAAATAAAGAGACTGATAGGTCCTGTGTTCGAATCTCGCGAGAGCGGGTTCGTGAATGCGCACTACTGAGGAATCCCATAATAGGACGAAACGGCCGTCCAGTGTTTCCAGGTTTTCCATGGTGGTCTAGCTTCAATTGATTCACGCTTTCAACTATGAAAAATAAAGAATAAGGTGTATTATTATACAATTTCACTAAGTTATTCTGTAAATGTATTTTAACATACATAAGACTATCTCTATTTGTGTTCGCATACACTACTACCTGAATGATTTTAAATATCTTTGATAATTATGTAAAACTTTACTATTTTACCACATGCTTACTACATGCTTAATAAACCAACTATAAATGCACTTGGTATTGTTTGTTTGAATCAAGTGAATTTAAACTTCACCCCATCGCACAAGCAAGTGGCTATCGGGACTCAGTGGCCGAGTGGATAACGCGATGGCGTTTGAAGCGAGGGTACTGGGTTCGAGTCCCAGAGTGAACATCAACTCTGAGATGCGAGTACATCCAGCTGACGAGTCCCAAATAGGACGAAACGCGCGTCCTGGATTCCACTGCTAGCCACTATCCATCTCTGCTAACCAACTATAAATGCGTTTGTACATTGTCAGAAATTTAAATGATCAAAGAGAAACTTCACTGAATAGTCTTCATTTGTATGAATGTTGACTGGTGTTATTGAGAAAGATATTGACGCATGATTTCAATTCCATAAAGCTTAGAGATGACTGTTTATTTCGTTATTTTTCATATTTTGCCTTCTATATTTTTGTTAACTGAACACAGACCTTTCACATTTATAATTCATTGAAGACCATATTGCGCAGTCAAAGGGATAGGTATGATTAAAATGATTCAGAAAATGACATTGTGCGGTAGAAACGAATTGTAATCAATAAACCGTATTTATTTCATCTCAACATAATATGAGGCTCTACAATCTTGTCACTGAGGACTATTACATAGACAATTTAGTTATAAATGAGTACATAAGTGTCTGTGACAATTCATATACACACATTAGGTATGTGATCTGTCGAGATCTTGAGATTTTTACAGATTTATCAATTAGAGTGCTCAGAACACTGTTTTCATGTTATGATAACTGTGGTTTAGATCATCCCTAAGGCAAAGCTTTTAAGGAAACCGTCGACCCTATTCTACACATATCAACAAAAAGATCATAGTAGAAAACCTAATCAGTCTTGATGACACCTTTTTAACCATAGTTTGTCAATCATCATTTACTAAAGAAATATGGAAGTGTTTAACTTGGTATTGATAAAATGTTTCGACAGATCACTCTATCAAATTTACCATTCACACGGAACTCATAGTTGACTGCAATGATTACAATATCACTTATGTGCACTACTACTTATCTACGAGTTATTATGAGCCTCTCTAATCTTGTCGAATTCTTTACATTGAAGACTATTACATCGACTATTTAGTTATGAATGAGTGCATAAGTGTCTGTGACAACTCATATACAGATATTAGGTATATCATCGGTCGAGATCTTAAGATTTAGCAGTTTTTTACTAAATGTCAAACATTTATCAGGTGTTCTTCCGCTTCTTCAGTTTTCTTTCATGAGGTTTTCACTAACCGTTAAGTTTGTCTTACATTGATCCTAATCGCTCTCCTTCCACTTCTTTGTTTATTGTTTTATACTACTTATTCATATTCAGTAAGCAGTTGTATACTTAACAATTTTCACATTTACATTGTAACGCAAGTTGTACTGTAACATTCGGAAACGTTCCCATATATTTATAATGTTTATTGTACTTATCATTGTATTTGTCATTGTAATTACTGTACTTTAATTACTGTAACGGTTATCCACAGTTGCGGATTTGTTTAAACACAACAGTTTCCATATTGTTTGCTCTTGGTTCGAGTTTCGATTGTTCATAAACTGTTGTCCGATTTCGACACAGCCATCGGCTGTCTTTGTACTATGGAAGCCTTTACTATTTCATTCTTGAAAGATGCGTTAAACGCCTAGACACCTCACAAGTTGAGGTTTGTAATTAAACTTTGTGTTTATATAATAATAGAACCGCTTATGTAGACAAATCGTTGTTTTGGAACTTCGATTTTGCGCGTATCTCAATCGGGTCATTTGGACGCTTTGATAGACTTAACAGTTCTCAACTTTGGTCTCATTGGTGTGGATACAGTTCTGAACTTTGGTCCTAATTGGTGAAGATACTTGCTGTAACTAATTTGGTCGGAATCGAGTCTGGTTCATTCATCCCAACGATGACGAAAACGAGAATGATGAAGTACAACGATGACAGTTCCCAAGACACAGACAATTCTAATGCTGAAAATATCATTCCTTCAGTTTCTAAGGTGAATTCACCTATTTCTTTAAATATTGCTCTTGATAACGTTTTACTTAACCCCAAAGACAGCTGTTCTGTAATGGACGACTATGTAGAGACTAGATGTAGCATAGAAGACGGAGTCGTTTCTAGGGAAAAGGAAGTAGAAAAGATTGAGTTAGAGAACTTCAACTACGCAAACGATTGTTAGAGTTAACCCCGAACTCTTTAAGCCAAGTGAGAAAAGCAAGAGATTAACGAGTCATTGGGGTCTCGATCTGGGGACGTAACACCAGCAGCCCCGTTAAGGCGCCGATACACTACTGCACATTTGAGCGAAGCGGTGCAACTCAAAGCACAAGCGGATAGTATCAAGTCACTAGTTATGACAGCCAGTTTACCTAAGATAGAGGTTATGAAATTTGATGGAAGTCCTTTGAAATTTTGGACGTTCATAAAGGGATTCAAGGCTAACATTGCTGACAGAGTAGAGGATGATACTCAGAAATTAATGTACCTGATACATTATTGTGAAGGCGCAGCTAAGGACGCTATCGAGCACTGCGTTTTATTACCAGAAAGAGAAGGTTATACCAAAGCTATTAGCATTTTACACGAACAGTTTGGCAAACCACATGACATAGTAGAAGCGTTCTTAACAGAATTGTTAAATGGAACGCCACTAAATCAAGACGATGTATCTGGACTACGGAAATTAACAAGACTCATGACTAACTGTAAGATAGCCTTGACACAGATGGGCAGAAATGCCGATCTGAATTGTTCGACCAATCTAAAACGAATAATGAGACGACTTCCACGAAGTATACAGTTTAAATGGGCGGAAGTTGCAGACGATATTCTAAGAAGAGGGCTAGAACCCAATTTTGATGATTTGTTGCAATTCTTGAAAAAGAAAGTGTCAATCGCCACGAACACTTATGGACAGTTAGCAAGTGGGAGCTACAAAGCTCAAACGACATCGAACAACCGGTCTGCTTCTATTAGAGCTACGATCCATACATGGTCGAGTAAAGGAAAAGTTCATTATGTAATTTGCTCTGATACCCACGAAGTCGTATCTTACCCACAACTGCTAGCAGTAAGACACAACGAAAGGCTAGAATTACTGAAGAAGTTTAAACTTTGCTTTAATTGTTTAAAACCCAGTCATCGAGCAAAAGACTGTCGGCAATCTGTGTTGTGTGAAATTGATGGCTGCAAGCGACGTCATCATAGAATTCTTCACAACACAGAACCTGATGCTAAACAAACATGCTGTAATCCTACTTATTCTGCTGGAACGTATTTAGGATTTGTGCCAGTCAGGTTACATGGTCCCACAGGACATGTGGATACCTATGCATTATTGGATAATGGCTCAGACTCGACACTACTGCTTAGTGATGTGGCAAAGCAGGTAGGAATTTCAGGTACAGTGACAAGATTGAACATATCTTCTGTAATTGGAGCGTCATCTCAGAACGCTGAACTTATTAATTTCGAAATCGAATCTTTAGAGAAGACTAATCGAATCAAAATCGAAGGTGCATATGCTATAAACAACCTACCTATTAAAAGGGCAGAAATTCCACCAACGGACTTCCAAGAAAGATGGAAACACTTGAAAGCTGTACAGCTACCCACCATAGCTTGTGACAAGGTTGGTTTGTTACTTGGTGTTGACGTTCCAGAGGCCCACTGGGTTATCGATCAGCGTATCGGGAAACCTAAACAACCCTATGCATCACTAACTATGTTAGGATGGGCTTTATTTGGACCGACAGGTCAACTTGATAAAACTTCAGCCTTCATAAACTGTTTAGAAGCAAAAGGTTCCGTCGAGGAGGATATTGAAAGGATTAGTTAGATTAAACAAATTATTATCATAAATGATACAATTATTATTATTAACATCATCATTCACAACATCAGAATCATCCACATTATCAGGATTATATTCATCAGTCTCATATACTTCATCATCATTATCATCATCCACAATATCAGGATTATATTCATCAGTCTCATGTACTTCATCATCATCATCATCAACATCATCGTCACAAACCTCATCATAGACATAATCTTCATCATCCGCCTCATCATCATCATTATTGTCACCGTTCAGAACTGTATCCACACAAATGAGACCAAAGTTGAGAACTGTTAAGTCTATCAAAGCGTCCAAATGACCCGATTGAGATACGCGCAAAATCGAAGTTCCAAAACAACGATTTGTCTACATAAGCGGTTCTATTATTATATAAACACAAAGTTTAATTACAAACCTCAACTTGTGAGGTGTCTAGGCGTTTAACGCATCTTTCAAGAATGAAATAGTAAAGGCTTCCATAGTACAAAGACAGCCGATGGCTGTGTCGAAATCGGACAACAGTTTATGAACAATCGAAACTCGAACCAAGAGCAAACAATATGGAAACTGTTGTGTTTAAACAAATCCGCAACTGTGGATAACCGTTACAGTAATTAAAGTACAGTAATTACAATGACAAATGCAATGATAAGTACAATAAACATTATAAATATATGGCAACGTTTCCGAATGTTACAGTACAACTTGCGTTACAATGTAAATGTGAAAATTATCAAGTATACAACTGCTTACTGAATATGAATAAGTAGTATAAAACAATAAACAAAGAAGTGGAAGGAGAGCGATTAGGAACAATGTAAGACAAACTTAACGGTTAGTGAAAACCTCATGAAAGAAAACTGAAGAAGCGGAAGAACACCTGATAAATGTTTGACATTTAGTAAAAAACTGCTAAATCTTAAGATCTCGACCGATGATATACCTAATATCTGTATATGAGTTGTCACAGACACTTATGCACTCATTCATAACTAAATAGTCGATGTAATAGTCTTCAATGTAAAGAATTCGACAAGATTAGAGAGGCTCATAATAACTCGTAGATAAGTAGTAGTGCACATAAGTGATATTGTAATCATTGCAGTCAACTATGAGTTCCGTGTGAATGGTAAATTTGATAGAGTGATCTGTCGAAACATTTTATCAATACCAAGTTAAACACTTCCATATTTCTTTAGTAAATGATGATTGACAAACTATGGTTAAAAAGGTGTCATCAAGACTGATTAGGTTTTCTACTATGATCTTTTTGTTGATATGTGTAGAATAGGGTCGACGGTTTCCTTAAAAGCTTTGACTTAGGGATGATCTAAACCACAGTTATCTTCACCGACATCACACTCGTTCCACATTCTTTGAATCAAGATTTGGTGGTTGCATACATCAATTGTTTTCGTGAGATAAGATTCCTGCTTTGTATATTGAATTCCAGCTTTTTGTAGCTTACATACTTTAGCGTCAACACTGAACCATTTGCAACTGGAGTTTATCTTATTCTTTCAGACAATTATTAAAGCTTTTTATGAACAATCGTAAATTCGTTTTGCAGCAAAAATAGATTCACTCCAATCCATTTCCAATGATATCAAACATGTGAAAAAGGTCCTGTTGACAGAATGTCAATTGTAGTTTAATACGAGTTATGGACGGAACTTTACAGTAATAGATCACTCTTTCGGAATGTTTCTGATATTACAAATATGTGTTTATGTATGTATATGTCGAAGGGACAAACAAAATTGGTCAGTTCTCTAATTTTTCAGGCCATGTATGACCACAGATAATAGGCGGCTTGTCTGACAAACATTGTCTTATCAACTGAATTGAACCCATGCATGAAAATAATTCCATTTGCGGTTGCGAAAAATTCATTGATTCTTTTAACGCCACAAAGCGCTTAAACCATAGTTCAGAACGTTCCGATATCTAATACAAACCACTCTTTAATTGCTTTCAGATAACACAACATCGACACAGACGTTGAACTCTTTTTCATATTTATTAACTGCGTGTTCACACTCACTTCGTCATAATGCACATTCACTTATATATTATAATACGGCACACAATCCATAGCATCATTAGAC